CATTACGTTATAGTTTATCAACACGGGAAACGTGCTTAACCTATTTTTAATTTATTTGTCAGATTTGTTTATGCCTAATACCTGGCTACATTTCACGTGCAAAAATATAGGTAAGTGTAAAATGCAAATTTAATTCTGAACTTAGTAAAAAGTATCCTTGCAATATGAAAGAGATATAGATTGCAAAAGTAGAGAGGTAACCTACTAAAGTTGTATTTGAACAATTACATCAAATTACAGATTTATGAAATATAGAAATAAACTTATATTGTATGTACAAGTAGATATAAGTAATTTTGTCATCGTACGGAAACTCGCAGTTTAAACTAACTATAAAATTGTTTGCAGATGCTTGATGTCATTAATGTCATTAAGAGGTAGAAAAGCAGTGGAATACTTCATGCACTTCCAAGTAAGTTAGAAAAGCATTAGCGAAGCTACTTAATCTTGTACAAATCATATTAAAGTACACATTAAAGAAATATAAATATATTTTGTCATTGTGTAAGGGTTGGAATCTGTCTTGGGACAAACGCAAAAAGAGAAGCCATAAGATGTCAAAGCGCTTAATCGAAACGAAACAGTGCATCAAGAACCTCGTCGTAGAGCGAGAAGCGGTGGCAGTCGAGCTGCATCATCTACGACCGGAATTTCCAAAGATGGCAGTTCAGGCCAACACGCTGATTATTATACAGAAGTAAGTTTCATTTTCAAGTTACAAATTTGATTTTGGACGTTTCAGAACTTTTATAATTTAATAACAGAAAGAGATAGTAGCAATAACTTGAAAAATATGTGTAACGCTGATTGACTATCGTGTTGTGAGGGCGTAATTTTCTTAACGTTGCCGCGCTATGAAAGGTTTAATTTACTGCATGATTTAATTTATCCGTATGATATTGCAGACCGAGGATTGCGAAAGTAAGAAAAGTTTATAAGAATTACATTTGTAATTTATAGGACGTAAACATAGAAGAGGATACAGAGAGTAGTTCTGATTACATGGGTGAAACGAGTAACGATGAACACAGTGGGTGGTGGTAGCCAATCTGGAGCCAGTATGAAACCAGGCGATGATCTTGCTACAGATAGCACATTAAAACGGATTCTAGAGCAGGATTATGACCTAATGAGTATTAAGAACAAGGTAAGCTAGTAATTAAATTTTAGTTAATATACATATATATTACAGATAAGCTATAAAGTGTTTGTGCCGGATACATTTTTCAACAACTAAAAACTATTCCTGCTGTTTGCATTTTATTTATTTTTCATATTTAAATTAAAATTATACAAGGATTGTAATTTATGTTAAAAACTAATCTTTCACTGAAAACAAATATCATACAAATATATCACTGATATTTATTTCAGCTTATACTTCCGGCGCAACCTACTGTGATAAATATTCCAGAATCTCTGGCACAGCATTTCACTACGACGCAGTTTACGAATATCCCAGAGAAACCTTAATTCTCATATCGCAGTTTACGAATGTCTCAGAGAAACTCTCTGATTGTGTCGATTAATTATCGAACGGAAAAAGGAAAATACAATAGCAATGTTTTTTTACGTATCAGGATAAGCTGTGATTATATAAAAAAAAAAAGAAAAAAATAACGGAAAACAGAACCGAGCAGGAACAGGACGCAACTGTATTTCTAGACAGTCTGATTTTGTAAATTATTCTACGAGGAAAACACTTGTGTATTATATATATATGTATATGCGGATATGCGATATACAATTTGATATGATATATGATCTATGACGTTTGTTTATTACTATGTAAAGTGACAGACTTCGAAATTAAACATTAATTACTGTTAATCGCAGCGTTTGGAATTTTCTCACTTTCTCATGATCCTCTTTAGGTAAAAGAAAAGAAAAAGAGTAAATTCAAAACGCCGCGAGAGTGCAGACACAATGGACATCCGAATTTTACAAAACGTGAAAAAACATTCGTCTTTTCTCATCTCTAAACTCCTCAGACCGTGTTAATATTTAAACAAAATAATTTACACGTCACTCATAGAGCTAGCGCGATAAAAAAATAAGTTAACATTCGTTGAAACAACATTATACATTTATGCCTAACAACAATTTTTTGTGCTTGCACTCGCGAATCTCTTGCCGACGTGATACTCGATTTTCTCACACAGAATTTCTTGCTATAAGACACAAAGGGGAGTTTACTTCTTGCGGAAAATACTCGACATGCTGGGCGATTCAATTTTCTGTTGAAGAGATCTTGTTCATCTTCTGGCGCATATCCTTGGCAGACATTCACCGTCGTCATCGATAGGGAAAACCCGAAGCTCGTCGAGTGTCCTGGAATGAAGATAATTTTTTTACAAACGTTTAAACATTTTTCGTTATCGAGAAAATGTGTACAGGATACATAATGTTTCTAGAAAAGTATTCAATGGTCCAAAGATATCGAAATTCAGAAATATTCTACCAAATCTACTATGGATTATTGCGACTGTAGATTACAATTATATAATCACAGTAATTTCAAATCCAGGTCGCTGCCTGGTCTGCCGAGATCAGGAGATCTTTTTTTCGGCAATCAAAAATTCCAAGAAAATTAGCGTGTCGCTATAATAATGAGGGATGTTCGAAAGATTGCACCGCGTGATAAATTACAGTAATAAAATATAAAATTTCTTATATTTCTTTACCTCTGTATGTCTTATAGTTATTAATTCGTCAATTATTATAAACACGATCAGATATGTTTGGATTAACATAATTATTTTTATTCAATACCTATCTATTGGCTTCATTCAGTAAATACTGCCTGCACTCCGCTTCTCTGAGCAAGAAACGCACTGCATCTTCTTACTGAGGTAGGCATTGATTTACCAACGTTTTGAGATGCCTCAGTTCCGGTAGTACTACTCCGGAAGCGCATTGACAGCATCAACGAGTTTCTAACAGCAGCTGATATTGGTATGTAGGAGCAATATTCAACAGCTAGTAATCTTCTCTCTGTGTACTTGTGTTGACTCTGCTCCCAACAAATCGTTAGAATGTCTTCCGTTTCCAGCGGCTCTTCGGCGAGCTTCGCCATTACGACTAAACCTGATAAAAAAAAAAAAAGAAAGTAACCTTTAGTAACAGGTACATTCAGTAAGCAAAACACATTTTTTAATTATAAATGTATTTTATACATTGCAATATGCAGTACATAAGTAGCAACAAACCCGACTCCTCTTTTCAGAAAGAATAAATCTTATTGTATTTAAATCTATTAATCCTAAATCGATAAACTGTATTTTTTTTTACTAACCAGTCAATATCATTTGTCGCTCGTCCTCTTGCGGCCTCTTTTTTATAAACGACGGTTAATGATGATGGTGGTGGTGGTGGGGTGATTGTTATATTTTACCGGTTCAACAGGAAGCACTGAGAGCACACAAAACAATAATTAATCAATCATAGTTAATTATTTTCCTCACATTCGATTGTGATTGATCAATTTCTCACAGCAGATCTTAATGGAACACTTAATAAAGTTGTAGGGTAGTATTTCATTGTCGGATCTTTTATATTTAAGGCCGGCTGGAGTAATCTTAAGAGAGAGAGAGATGTTATAAACTATTCACTCGATTGTTAGATATAACAGAGCCGTATATATTATCAACCTTAAGCCATTGTCTTGAAATAAGAACCGACTATGTATACTAGCCTTAATTTTACTCATTAATTGTTCGTTGCTTAGCAAGGAAGATTTTACAGAAAAATATATTGCTCTTTTTCTTACCTATATAACAGGAGATGAGGTAATATGCGAAATCGAAATATATACGCAAGCCGTCCGCGACTTCTCTGCATATATTTACTTCGTTTACTGTCTTCTCTATGGTATACGGTATTATTCACTTTACTCCGTTGAGGTTTCTGTTCGTAATATTCTCGGTTCGGAATATTCGTAAACTGCGTCGTAGTACAATGCTATGCTAATCTGACAAATAAATTGAAAATAGGTTAAGCACGTTTCCCGTGTTGATAAACTATAACGTAATG